CTAAATTGTTCAGGTCCTCGTCAAGGCTGGCATTGAACTTGCAATCCTTCTGCCTCAGCCTCCTGAGCCACTGGGATTATAGGTATGTGCCACCATGCCTGGCCTTATCTCATATCTTTTAAGGCTCCCAGAGTGAGGACCAGAAGTGGGAAGAGCATAGGACACACTACAAAGTAACATGAATTTCTTTATGCCCCTCCTTCCAATTTCCTTATTCCATTTAGCCAACCTTTGTAGGCAAAGGTAAACCATTTCTCCCCAAACTGAGATAATTCTCTGATGCTGGAAATGTTTCATCCTATAGGTGGATTTACCCACAGAATCATAATATTTGAACCAAAAGTTTCATTGGGCAGTTTTAAATAGTTCTAAGGGAAAGAAGACCTCCATTGAGGGCAAGTTTCTCAGAGGAAAAGAGTTAACTTTCTTGGGCTGGGGTTGTAGTTCAAAAGTAGAGAGCAGTCACCTAGTATGTGTGAAGCCCTGGGTTCAATCCTCAGAACCACATAATAATAAAATAAAGGTATTGTGTCTACCTACAACTAAAAAATGAATACTTTTTTTTTTTTTAAAAAGAGTTAACTTCTTGGAGAGACTTTGAGAGCCATCTGTGTGGTCACCCATGCCCTCATTCTGACGTCCAAATTGTTCTGGGACCCTCCACCAAGTTTGGGGCAGTCCCAGCTTTAGACCACCACCCTCCTCTCCCACGCCCAAGCTCACACTCAGCTGTTTCACTGGATGTTGCATCAGGGAGGGTGATGAAATCAGTGTCAGTGGATTTTACCCAGGGATGCAACAGGCTAAAGGACCAGTCAGGGGTAATGTCACTAGGCACCTTCAACTATCCAGAACTCCTGGACTTCCTTGTCATGGACTAGGGACTGGGGACAAGAATATCTACTTTGGACTTTGAGTTCTTTCTTATGTTGGTATCTCAAAAAAAAAAAAAAAAATCATCTGAGTTCCACAAAGCCCATGAAAACTTGGGCCACTAAATGAGTTGAAAAATCAGGTGCAATGGGAGTGGTGGTGCACTCCTGTGATTCTATAATCGGGAGGTTGAGGCAGGAAGATCTAAAGTTCAAAATTAGCTTAAGCAATTTAACAAGAACCTGTCTCAAAATAAAAAGGGCTAGGGATGTGGCTTAGTGATAAAGTGCCCCTGAGTTCAATTCCCAGTACCAACAAAACAAAATAAAAAAAAACAGGTGCTTCTTAGTCAACAACCTCACCTCTACAAATGCTCTCTATAGTGAGAACTGAAATGGGGAGCAATAACACCTTGTTTTATTTTTGGTACCTGGGATTGGGATTAAACCCACGGGTGCTTAACCATGGAGGCACATCCCCAGCCATTTTTTTTATATTTTATTGAGAGACAGGGTCTTGCTAAGTTGCTTAGGGCCTTGCTAAATTGCTAAGGCTGGTTTTGAACTTGCAATCCTCCTGCCTCAGCCTCCAGAGTTGTTGAGATTACAGGCATGTGCCACCATGCCAGCCATAATAATACCTTATATTACACTCATATGGCTTCCCATTTCACAAGTACCTTAATGTTCATTCTCTCCTAAGAAACTAGGACCACCCAATGGGGGTAAGGGGTAGACTTTCCAATGGAGAAAAAGAACTCCCTTATTCTTAGATAGCAGGTCATTAGGTAGGAATCAAACTTCATTCCAAGATGAGCTCACCATCCTTTTGGGAGTTGAGTGAATGTTTCTCTGTTTTTGGTTTTTCCTCAGGCAAGAGGAAGTGAGGAAATTAGGTTTGGGGTGTGGTAGGGGTATAGTTTTGAGAGGCAAAAAGATCAGAGACAGATTAAACAGGAAGGAACTTGAGACCAGATTAATTTAAATGTTCGTTACTTCCCCTACCCCTTCTAAAGCCATTTCAATTCCTGGAGAGCATTACACATGTATCTCATCCTAGGCTTCTAGCCACAGCAACCTCACTAATCATTTCCCCTGGAACTGAGGCTACATACCTGGGCTCTCCACAGAGGGGAATGATGCAGGGAGGGGAATCCCACCTGCTGTGAGTCACCTGCTAGTGTAAAGGGCGGGCCTTACAATGCAGGGACCTTAAAAAGAGGGAGAAAAACAACGGAAGCAGCTCAGAATCTCTGTGAAAAACAGAGAGAACCAGAACCAAAGCAGATCAGACAGAATTAGTCTCAGAGCAAGGGGAAGTGGGCAGAGATTCCACAAGGACTAGTGCAGGTCACAGAAACAGATTTGAGAAGTAGGCGACATAATGCTGGGGATCAGAGCTGTGATGCTGCTATTGCTGCTGCCCTGGACAGCTCAGGGCTGGGCTGTGCCTGGGAGTAGCAGCCCTTCCTGGGCTCAGTGCCAGGAGCTCTCACAGAAGCTCTGCACACTGGTCTGGAGTGCACATCCACTAGTGGGACATATGGTGAGTGTTAGCCCGTGGGACTGAAAGGAACCTCTTCAAGCCTTCCAAGGCTGCACGACTGAATGGAAGCTGTGGCCTTGGGTGGATGCTTAAGGGTTGAAGGCGATCAGGGAATGAGAAAGGAAAGGAGACTGGGGTTCCTGAGAGAATCATGGGTGTAAGGATCCAGTAGGATTTAAAAGTACTTATCTTGGGCTGGAGTTGTTGCTCATAGAGCACTTGCCTAGCATGTGTTCAGCCCTTGGTTCAATCCCCAGCACTGCAAAGAAAACAATAAGTATGTGTTGTATTCTTCCCATTCCCTTTCTCCATTCCAGGATCTACTGAGAGAAGAGGGAGAAGAAGAGACTACAAATGATGTCCCCCATATCCAATGTGGGGATGGCTGTGATCCCCAAGGACTCAGGGACAATAGTCAGGTACCACTAAGATGAGGCTAGCCCTGAAGGGAGAGGGGACTGGGCCTATAGCTGGGCACTGTGGTGAACTAGAAGTTTTCTGAGAATGGTAAAGAACTGGGTGGATCTTCAATGAATAAGAATAGTGTATCCACCTTTTATTGCTTTCTTTTCTCTCTAGTTCTGCTTGCAAAGGATCCACCAGGGTCTGATTTTTTATGAGAAGCTTCTGGGCTCAGACATTTTCACAGGGGATGATGGTCCTGTGGGCCAGCTTCATGCCTCCCTTCTGGGCCTCAGCCAACTCCTACAGGTATGAACAAGTGGTGTGGAGGATGAGGGCTAGCTGGTGTTAAGAGACAGAGGCTATGGGATAAGGATCTAGAGTCTTTTCTGACTGCACTGTGTCCTTTCAGCCTGAGGGTCACCACTTGGAGACTCCACAGACTCCCAACCCCAGTCCCAGCCAGCCGTGGCAACGTCTCCTTCTCCGCTTCAAGATCCTTCGCAGCCTCCAGGCCTTTATAGCTGTAGCTGCCCGGGTGTTTGCCCATGGAGCAGCAACCCAGAGCCCCTGAAGGCAACAGCTTAAAGATGGCACCCAGATGGACATGGCTCAGCAATGATAAGATATATCTATTGACCCACACAACTATGAGCCAACAAGTTAATTAGCCCACTAATTTTAATAGGACTTGCATGTTGAAAAACTGCTAATACTGACTTAAGATGATGACGTGTGACAAAGTTGCATATTTATTAGCTGGAAAGAGAAATTTTGGTACTATTTATCCTCATGGGAACAGTTTGGAGAGGAGGATTATTTATTATATTTATAAGTAATTATGTATTTTTTTCAATAAAGATTTATTTATGTGGCTCTCAAGTCTAATTTCTAAGTTCAACTGTGAAAGATAAATGGATGGGAAAAGTAGGGCCAAGGGATTATAACATGTACACTTTTCTACTATTCTGAAGGTCTATGGTGGAGAGTGAGATTTTCTCACAACTCCCTGGGGGATCTTTTTTTTTTTTTTTTGTACCAGGGATTGAACCCAGGGGTGCTTAACCACTGATCCACATTATACTTTTGAGACAGAGTCTTGCTAAATTGCTGAGACTGGCCTTAAGCTGACAATTCTTCAGCCTCAGATTCTCGAGTCACTAGAATTATAGGTATGTGCCACCATACCCAGCCACTGGGATATTTTCAGTATAAATCCTTGATGGCTGAGCAAACAGCCTGGGATTATAAGGAGTTGAGATTAGGAAGTGGAGGCACACCTATAGGACACTTGCTCCCTGATCCATTGCCCGCTATCTTGGCCAAGAATATAGGAGCCAAAGATAGGAGCCCCAGTCACTACAGAATCAAAAATTAGACCACAGCCAGGCATGATGGCACATGTATGTAATCCCAGTGACTCGGGAGGCAATTTAACAGCAAGGCCCTAAGCAATTTACTGAGACTGTCTCAGAAAAAAACATGGCTGGGGGCGTTGGGGTTGTGGCTCAGCAGTACAGCACACGCCTAGCTCGTGTGAGACACTGGGTTCAATCCTCAGCACCACATAAAAATAAATAAATAAAGGTATTGTGTTCAACTACAACTAATAAATATTTTTAAGAAAGGTGGGAGTGGGCTGGGAATTAGCTTAGTGTTCCCCAATACAAAAAAAAAAAAAGTAGGGCTCAGCTGTGAGCAGGGAAGGGCATTCCAAGAAGATAAAGGTAAATCTCTTAAGCCAATGGGATTCTCCCTTAAAGGACCTCTGTTAACTCCAGAAGAGAGTTAAACTATCTGAAAAAAGGAAGGGAAGGACTTAGTGATTATTTGCTTTCCTTTTCGCTGCAGTCCCAGCATCAAGAGAATGTGTGCTTCAGAGTCAGACAGACGTGGATTTATGTTTTGGCTTTGCCACCCACTAAGTATATGATAGGATGGTCATATAACACTTATATCCCACCCCCAACACATATCACTCACCCCCATCCCAAAGAATTTGCAAAGCAGGAAGGCCGGCTCCAAATGGAGGGACAAAGAAGAAATACAACAAGAAGGGCATGCAGAGGTGAACAGAGGCCACAACTTGCTGAACTCACTCTTATATATTGGATGTCCCTGATGATGTCCCCAAGGACTTTAGTCTCTGTGAGTGGAGAAGAAGTTCCGAGATAAGACACTTCAAGGTTAGCACAAAGTTTATTAGTCATTTCTGCTCAGAAGAGACCCTTTCTGAACTGAGCTGTTTGCTTGAATACCAAGCAAGAAATAGTCACCTGTGCAGGGCTCCTCTTTCATTTATACCTTAAATTACACCAGAAGCACATCTAAGAGCAACGGCAGTTGCCTCTGGGGTTCCCTGGGAATGGCTAAGGTATGAGGATGTCCAGGGTCATATGATAAACTTTCAAGGTTCTAAGTTCCAGGAACTTTGGTGTGGTTTTTGCCTAGGTCTATACCCAAGGAATAGAGACCTTCCATTCAGGCAAACACTATATTGTACAAAAGAAGGGATGGTGTCTTAATAAAAAAAAAAAAAAAATAGCTACCAAAGCATTTCTTCCTCTGTAAAAACATCAAATTTTATCCAATACTATATAAAGCAACTCATACATTCCCAGAAACCCTACCATCCCAACCTCCAGGAGTGATTGTCTCTTAAGTGGGGAAATGGAGACTAGGCAGCCTAAATTAGTGTGCAAAGCTTCTCAATCACATTAGAGTGGCAGGATCACTTTATGGGGAAGGAGAGGATGCAGGCAACTCAGCGGGCAGAGCAGGGCAGAAGACTGGTAAGAAGAGTTCTGTTTTACATCCTTACTCAGAATGCAGCTTTACATGCTGGGCTGAGACAGAAAGCTCTCAACCCCTGCAAGAAAATAAGAAATTTAGGCCAGGCACAGTGTCACATGCCTGTAAACCCAGCAACTCAGGAGGCTGAGGCAGGAGGATTACAAATTCAAAGCTAGCTTCAGCAACTTAGTGAGGCCCTAAGCAACTTAGTGAGACTCTGTCTCAAAATTTTAAAAAATTTAAAAAAGGGTGAGGGATGTGGTTCAGTGGTTAAGTGCCCCAGGTTCAATCCCTGGTAACAACAACAATAACAACAACAAAAACAAAAACAAAAACAAAAAAAAAAAAAAGAAGAAATCAGGAATCGAGAAAAGAAGGAAAAAAAAAAAAAAAAAAACCACAACTATCTTAGACAGGAATGGATAAAAGTTGGAACCAGAAGAGAGAAATAAAGGGCTAGGTGTGCAGCTCTGTGATAGAACATTTGCCTAGCATGCATGAGGCCCTGAATTCACTAATATCCAATAGAGAAATGGAATTTAATAATAAGAGAAGTGGAATTCTATAACATGTCTGTACTCTTCACAAAGGGCCAATGCTAGTGTGTGCCAGTTTAATCTTACCAACTATTATAATGTTGAAATCCTTCCATACTGGAAAGAAGCCACTTCCCTGAGCCCTCCAATACCTGCAAACTATCAGGGCCTGCTGCAGGACCCCTAAGACTCCCAGCACAGCAGATAGCCTCCAAGACCTTATTTAGAACTATGGCCAGTACCTGTTCTGATTTGTTGGTGCCCTTCCACATTCATGTTTCTTTCACCTCTCCCCTTGAACCCCAGCTTAGAATCTCTAATTTCCCATACTTGAAGAGCAGCATCATGATGTGAAGAGTAGGAGGGGCAAAAGATTTGGAAATAACAGAGAAAATGTAGCTCCTAGAAGTCAGAAGTCAAGGGTACATCCGTGTAGAAATGGCTGGGGCAGGAGATGTAAGCCTCGTCAGTGGTGTTCTGGCCAGACAACAGCGGGTCACCATTTGGCATGATTTCTTCTATTCTACAGTTTCTGAAGACTGGATAATTCAGAAAGAAAAGTCAGACCCTGACCTTAGTTGGGAGTTCCCAACCCAACAGGAAAAGTGAGGGACAATAGCAGAAAGGCTTGAGGGGAGCTTTGGAGGATGGAGGATGAGGGTAGGGGGAGGCATGTGCATTTCCTAATAAAAGGAATCAACAGGAAATGAGCCTCTCTCTCCAATGAGGAGCATGGAGCTCAGCCTTTTCTGTGATGGGTCAGAGAGGAAGGTAGGAAAGAATGTGTTTTCTCTTCCCTAGTTCCACCTCATCACTTACTTTCCATTCCCTCAGTGTTCAAGTTTTGCAGATCACAGGGTAAATCCGGCTCTGGCATTGGCTGTAATACAGGTTTCAGGTCTGGCTCTGGCACGCTGTGTGATACCCTGCAGAGTGTAGGTTCCAGCACAGGCCTCAGTGTGGGCTCCAGTCCTGGCTTCAGAGTGGTCTCCAGCACAGGGTCCAGCACTGACCTCAGATTCAGCCCTGCATCCAGCTCTAACTCCAGGCCGAGCCCCAGGTCTGGCTCTGATGGCAGCCCCAGATCCAGGTCTAACAATGGCAGTTCTGGCTCCAGTTTAAGCTCTGGTGGTTGTTGCAACTCATCCACTTGTCTAGATATACCAAGATAACAAAGGGGCAGAACTCAGTTGTTTAGATGAAGTTGGGAATAGTAGAACAAGCAAAGGCTGTGTCTTTAGTCTAAGAAGTCAGCAGAGCAAAGGGCTAGAGAGCATGGGCTTTGAATCAGGCTTGATAGAGTTTGAATCATATCATTTATTAGCTGAGTGACCTTAGGTAAGGTATGTAACGTCTCTGAGTCTCAGATTTATCAACTGTAATAGGAGAAACAATATATAATTCTTGAGAAGCGATAAAATGGATAAAATTTGGGCTTTAGAGGCAGGCACAGTGGCACACACCTGTAATCCCAGTGGCTTGAGAGACTGAGACAGGAGGATCTCAAGTTCAAAGCCAGCCTCAGCAACAACGAGGTGCTAAGCAACTCAGTAAGATCCTGTCTCTAAATAAAATACAAAATAGGGCTGGGAATGTGGCTCAGTAGTCTAGGGTCCCTGAGTTCAATCCCTGGTTACCCACCCTCACCCGCCGATTTAAAAAAAAAAAAAGAAATTGCAGAAGAATGAAACTAGAGCCCTGTCTTCCAGCCTTTAAAAAAATCAACTCAAGAGCTGGATCTGGGGCTCAGTGGTAGCGCACTTGCCAGGCATGTGTGAAGCACTGGGTTCTATTCTCAGCGCCACATATAAATAAATAAAGATCTATCAACAACTAAAATAAATATTTAAAAAATCAACTCAAAATGAACCAGAGCCCTAAATGCAAGACTTAAAATTATTAAATGACTCAAAGAAAATACAGGGGAAACACTGTAAAACATTTGTATAGGCAATGCTTTTTGGATGAGCCTCAAAAGTGCAGGCAACTAAAGCAAAAATAGACAAGTGGGATTGTATCAAACTAAGAAGCTTCTGCACAGCAAATGAAATAATCAACAGAGTTAATAGACAATCTATAGAGTAGGAGAAAATATTTGCAAACAATATCTCCAACAAGGGAAGGAATTAAAAAGACTCAACAGGGGCTGGGGTTGTGGCTCAGTGGAAGAGCGCTTGCCTAGCATGTGTAAAGCACTGGGTTCGATCCTCAGCACCGCATAACCACTAAAAATATTAAAATGATAACTAAAAAAAATCTTTAAAAAAAGACTCAATAGCATAAAAACAAATAATCCATTTTTTAAAACAGGCCAAAGATCTCAATGTACATTTCTCAAAAGATATACAAATGGCCAATAAGTATATAATAAAATGTTCAACATCATCAATCATCTGGCAAATGTAAATCAAAACCACAACTGAGGGCAGGGTTAGTGGGTCAGTGGTAGAGTGCCCACCTAGCATGCATGAGGCACTGGGTTCAATCCTCAGCACCACATAAAAAAAGTAAAGTTAAATAAAGATATTGTGTCCCAGGGCTGGGGATGTGGCTCAAGCAGTACCGCTCTCGCCTGGCATGCGCGGGGCGCTGGGTTCCATCCTCAGCACCACATAAAATAGAATAAAGATGTTGTGTCTGCCAAAAAACTGAAAAATAAATATTAAAAAAATTCTCTCTCTCTCTTCTCTCTAAAAAAAAAGATATTGTATCCCCTTACAACTAAAATATATATATTAAAAAAAACCCACACAACTGAAGTCAGGCACGGTGGCATACACCTGTATTCTCAGCTATCAGGAGGTTGAGGCAGGAGGATAGCATGTTTGAGGCCAATCTGTGCAACTCAGCAAGACCCTGCCTCAAAATAAAATATAAAAAGTGCTAGGGATGTAGCCCAGTGGTAGAGCACTTGCTTAGCATGTGAGACCCTGGGTTCAATTCCCAGTCCTGCAAACAAAACAAAACTAACAAACAAAAACCTCCCCAAACCCCACAATGGGACACTATCTCACCTTCCAGTTAGAATAATTTAATTAAAAAGACACAAAATAACAAATATATGACAAAATATATATATGACAAAAAGGAAAAGGTCTAGGGGCAGTTCCCAGGTCTTAAGGCAAAACAGGGCAAAATAACTGGTAAGGATATATCATTTATCACACTGTTTGTGGGAATATAAATTAGTATAGTTATTACTAATGGCTTCCTATCCTTGAATAGTACTGAGGTTCCTCAAAAAACTAAAAAAAGGACTCTCATATGACCAGATATCTGACTACTTGGTATACATCCAAAGGAAATAAAATCAAGTATATCAAAAAGATACCTATACTCCCATATTTACTGAGCAGTAAATAGCCAAAATATGGATTCAATGGAGGCTTCACTGACTGATAAAAAAATATATAAGTAACATAACATTTATACTATATGTAATAAGCATATAATTTATATTCACACATATACACATACATACATACATATATACAATGGATTATTATTCATTCATAAAAAGAATGAAATCCTGTCACTTTGGGCAAAATATGTACAAAATAAATATGCATATTTATATATAGAAATATATGTATAAAATATAAACATGTATAAAATACATACAAACATATGTGTCAACTAAAAATAAAAAATTAAATTATTTTTCAAAAGCAGAACTTTGGAATCCCACAGACCTGGATCATTTATCAGGCGTGTTCCCTAGGTATGTCATTTCACCAAACTAAACCTGAGTTTCCTCAGCTGAAAACAATTGTGACTACTTCACAGAACAACTGTGAAGATCGAACAAAATGAGAAAATGAACATAAAGCATTTAGTCCAATGCCTGCCCATAATAAACTCTTGTTTGTTTGTCTGGTACTGGGGATTAAACTCAAGGGCTCTTTACCGCTGAGCTACATCCCCAGACCTTTTAAGATTTTTTTAAAAAATTTTAAGACAAGGCTTCATTAAGTTGCTAAGACTGGCCTCAAACTTGTGATCTTCCTGCCTCAGCCTCCTGAGTGACCGGGATTACAGGCGTGTGCCAACATCTCTGTCTTAAACTTTTAGTGACTATGACCATTATTGTTACCTACTCTGATGGGTCCTCATAAAAATTAAATGAACAAATGTTTTTAAAAAATCTAGTACCAAGGTTGGCACCAGGTAAGTCCTCATTTATACCAGTGATTATGATTACTGTTAACAAGGAAGCTTTGTGAAGATAACCTAAGGGTGGCAGCAAGAAAATATGAGAAAGGAGAGAGTTGAGAAGAATGGGTAGCGGGGAATAAGAGGGTTGTAGAGACTGGGTCAGTAGGCAGAGAAGGCTGGAGGGACTGGAATTTGGCAGATTAAAGTCACTATATCAGCCAAGGAAATTCTGGAGGATGGGTGAAGAATTCATATCTCACCTGTTAGAGACCACAATGAGCCTACGTTTCAGGTATTTCCTCCGCTCCTGGAGATTAACTGTGGGCACATACACAGGAGGTGGAGGAGGTCAGCATATTGGACACACAGCTCACTGGTTCCCCAAGTACAGAAGATCTTAACAATTTTATCCCCCTGACTAGCATCCCCATGGATAAATCCCTTAGCTGCTGTGGATATTAGTTTTCCTGTGTTTGAAAGGAGGGAACTGGATTTATGGATGTCTGAGAATCCTTCTAATCTAGTAATAAAATATGTTAATTATTCCCACCTTTTTCCTGGTAGTAGCGCCCAAAAGCCTCATCGCGGGGGATTCGTGGATAGAGGAAGCGCAGGGGGTTCTCAGGTATGTTCTCCTCAGCAAGCAGCTGGTAATGGCGGATGATTTCAGTCAGTGGGAGTGACTGCAACACCTCCTTGGTGTAGGGCTGCACAGAGTAGATAAGCACCCTATCTGGAAAGTGAATACAGAAGAGGCTGGCTAGAGTGAAGAGGCTCACCTAGGAGATTCTCTCCCTGGCTTCCCAGCCCCAAAGCTGCTAGAGGATTCAGGACAGAGCCCAAGAAGCCAACAGCAGGCAGAAGGGCAAAAGGCAGGCTAGGCAGAAAGGAAAAGGTATGGGAATGGCAGGGCAGAGCAGCTGACCATCATCCTGGTGTTCCACCCAGGAGCAGGTAATGCCTCCTTCCGATGTTTCACTGAAACGTAGCAGAAACGTTCCAGAGACCATCCTTTTCAGCAGCCGGCGTTCCTGGCTCCGGCTCACAAAGCCCATGATGCGTCTGGAACACAGAAAATAGCTGCAAGACCCCCAGTCCCTCGTGTGTGGGAGTGAGCATTTGGTTTTGGCCTCAGCTCTCTCACTTATAAACTTTTATATCTTGACCAAGTCACTTCTCATTGGTGATAGTGCCACCTGGCCCCAGGATTTTAAGAGGTATGAGGATTTAGTGAGATCACACAGGTGAAAAGCACAATGTAAAGGCCAAGTGATGTGCAAACAGGCAGGTAGTGTGGTGGAGAGAGCCTTGGAGTCATCTAGGCCTAGGTTTGAATCCCAACTCTGTCATCTGGGTAAATTGATTAACTTTTCTAACATTGAGTTTCCTGCTGGGTATACACCTATAATCCCAGAAACTGGGAAGTTAAAGGAAAGGATCACAAGTTCAAGGCCAGCCTCAGCAAATTGTGAGACTCTTAGCAACTTAGTGAGATCCTGTCTCAAAAAAAAAAAAAAAAAAGGAGGCCAGGGATGGCAGCTCACACTTATAATCCCAGGGGCAAAGTCCTAAGCAGCTTGGTAAGACTCTGAAGACTCTGTCTCAAAATAAATAATAAATTAAATAAAGGGCTGGGGATGTGGCTCAGTGGTAAACTGCTCCTGGGCTCAATCCTCGGTACCAAAAATACAAAACAAGTTTCCTCACTTGAAATGAGGGTGGTAATACCAACTACTCAGTATGGTTTTAAGGATTAAATGAAAGAATTCATCAGAACACCCAGTAGGTTCTGGGACACAATAGATGCTTGACAAATACAACTCTGTGATTAGAAATGTCATCTGTAGGGCTGGGGATATAGCTCAGTTGATAGAGTGTTTGCTTCACATGCACAAGGCCCTGGGTTCGATCCCCAGTACCATACACACAAAAAAAGAAAAAATATGTGTTGGGGCTGGGGTTGTGGCTCAGTGGTAGAGTGCTTACCTAGCATGTGTGAGGCACTGGGTTAGATCCCCAGAACCACATAAAAATAAATAAACAAAATAAAGGTATTAAAAAAAAAGAAGAAGAAATGTGGGCTGAGGTTGTGGCTCAGTAATAGAGTGCTTACCTAACATGTGTGAGCCTCAGAATTGGGTTAGATTCCCAGCACCACATAAAAATAAACAAATAAAGTAAAGGTATTGTGTCCATCTACAACTAAAAAAAATATTAAAAAAAAAAAAAGAAAAAGGAAAAAATGTCACCTGTAGTTTTTGCTCTCTCCCTGTTTGCCACACGAGGGCGCCAAGAGTCCAGTCCTGAGCCCAGAAAGAACAGACCTGTAATGGGAAGGCTGACCAAGGTCCTTACTCATCATTCCAGAGATCCTTCAGGTAGTCATGTACCAACTCCAGAATTTTGTCCAGCCATGTCCAGAATGGTAACTTGCCAGGGGGGCTCTCTCGCTGAAGTTGAAATGGAAAGGCAGAAAGAGATATGGAGTTTTCTCCATTGTAGGGAAGGAGTGACAGGGAAGGGCCAGTATTTGGATTGAGGGCCTAGATCTAACTGCATAGGATGCGGGGAGTTAGTTACCTTACTGAAGTCAGCCCAGGACAACAATGCATCCTCTCCTCCAGAATTCTGCCCTGTGGGAAAGAACCATAAATCTCTTCAGATGACAGAGGAGCCAAGGCCAGGTCAGGGGACAGGGGGCTTGCCAGACTAAGGCTGGGGAAAGGTTGAGAGAAAAGAAAAAGAATTATACCGAATAGCTTGTTCTTCAGCATGCCCAGCTGCTGTGGATTGAGGCCTCGGCCAACATAGGAGGAGAACTGCCAACTGAGAGCAGGACCCAACAAGCTCCAGGGAGCCTGAGGGGGACTGGTGAAGAACTGCTGATTCTATAGCGATGAGAGGAAAGCAGGATGGCTCAAAAGCAGCCCCTCACCCCAAGATTCCAGCCCCACCTCCCACCTGCCGGCTCCATCTCCTACCTGGGGGTTTGGGCTGAGCAGATTGAACCAGAGAATTGAGGCCCAGGCAATTGAGAGTTGGTTCATGTTAGAAATAATCACCACAGGGAGGGTGTCTGTCTGTGGAGAAGACCCGAGTCACGCAGGAGGGATGTGATGTTTCTAGCTAAAGACATCTGGTAAGGTAAGCGGGTGAAAGCCCACCCCATGGACCTTAGTTTATCCCTTTCTTATGCCTTTTTCCAATCTGCTTCGTCTCTCTGGCTGTCCCTCAGTCACTCACTTTCAGCTGCAGCTTCAGACCCTGGTAGACGTATTTGACTGTGAAGCTAATGATGTGTAATTCCTCTGTCACAGCCAGCAGCCCCTGCAATAGCCAAAGACACAGTGATCAGAAGGCCCTTTGACAAGTTCCTTCTGCACCTCAATCCTGTCCCAACCTTACTTTATTGCCGCCCTTTCCTGAACCACTTGAACGTTGCTCCACCAGCATCTGCGAATTGAGGAAAAAGAGAGAGTGCTAGAATAGGGATCCTGAAGTCCCTGGAACCCCTGTTTTGCCTCAAGACCTGGGAACTGCCCCCAGACCTTTTTCCTTTGGACTAGAAGCTTAAGTTATTGACACTTCTTACCAAGAAGCCAAAGTCCCAAATCAAACCATCACTCTGCCCTTTCTCTGGGGTCAAAGTTTTCTGGTTTGAGGTTAGAATGTTGAACTTCCGGAAGCTGTTCCAGGAGGAAGAATACATATGAAGGAAAAGAGCAGACTTTTTTTAAAAATTCAGGAGGAAAATAAAAGTTTCACTTCATTTCAGACATACCCTTTTCCTTTTGTCCATGTACCACCCAAGTCTCCCTCCTCATTTGTGCTCCCACCAGGGCTGCCAAATGTGGTTGTGCAGGTCATGCATACAGTGCACAGATGTTTGCAGTGTCCTTGTGAGGCACTTACCCTTCAGGAGAATTGCTGAAAAGAAATTAAAAAAAAATCATTGAGAAGTAAGCGTACAGAAGATAGGAATTTGCTCTGTGGGACCAGACAGATCTGGGTACAAACATACCTCTGTAGATTACTAGCTATGTGGCCTTGCAGAACAGACATAATCTCTCTGAACCTGTTTCCTTGTTCGTATGGTACACTGATAATACCTATCTCATGGGGTTGCTATGTAAATGGGGTTGCTGCATGTAAATGCTCAACCAAAGATGAGTTATTTCTGTGAGGTTGAATGAAAGGGGGAAGAAGAGAGTCCTAAGATGTTATTGTAAAGAATGAGTACTTTCTTCACCCCACCAGCCCCCATCCTGGCCACCACTCCTTGATCCTACCCTTCACCTGTCTCAACTTACCTGTCGATGGAGACTTCCACTGTCAGTGACTCACTGCCTTCCTGGAGTCTCACCAGCAGCCTAGGGTGGGGAAGGAGATGGATGGGATAAAATGGTCAATCTCAACCTCCCGGACAGGCAGATGTTTGAAAAAAGATAAAGGAAAAGAGTAGAAGAGGTAGATGAGTCAGAGAGAAATGAAGAAGAAAAGGTCAAGAGTGAAAAGATCTGTAAAACCAGAAAATATATAGTGTTAGGGCTAGAAAAAGGAAGCAGGAGCGAGTTCTGAAATGCCAACCTTGTTCGGACAGTAAACTTGCTCCCAGTCTTGAGGATGAGGGGTCGATGGGGAGTCTGGGGCATACAGGGCTGGGTTTCCACAATAAAGGCTCTGGGGAAAGAATTGTGGAGAGAATACATGGTTCAGTATCTGTAAGAATATCTTCCCTTGTTCCTTTTCTCCTTTTCTCCCTAGAGACCCTTCCATGGACTCCAGACCTGTGGAGCAGACTCTGAAGCAACTCTGTGACCTGGGCATTCTGCACATTCACCCCCTTGATCAGGGGGTCACCGTCATAGCTAATGTGTCTCAATTCATCCAGCTGCTTCAGCAGCTGCCTCAGATGAAACAGCAGCTTTGCTCCAGCTGTGAACCTGGTGATAGAATCCAGAGAGAAGGAATCCATGAGTTTCTTGGAGCTCCCACTCAGGGTCTGGGATCTCTTTAATGCAGAGTCAGAAACTACCTGGGACCAAAAAAAAAAAAAAAAAATCCAGGAGGTATATGCCAGATTACTCAACATGATTCATAATCTAAGACATAAAAATGAAAATCATTTTCACTTAAAAAACTGATTGAAAGCCAAGTGCCATGGCACAGGCCTGTAATCCCAGCAGTTCAGGAGGCTGAAGTGGGATGATCACAAGTTTAAGCCAGTCTCAGCAACTTAGCAAGGCCATAAGAAACTTAGTGAGGCCCTAAGAAATTTAGCGAGACTATATCTCAAAATAAAATATTATAAAAAGGGTTGGGGATGTGGCTCAGTGGTTAAATGCCCCTGAGTTCAAGCCCTGATAACAAAAAATCAAACAAACAACAACAACAACAACAAAAAAAAACTAATGAAACGTCTATTAACATAATAACAATTAACCTTCATATGATGCTTGCTATGTTTGATTTATATGAAGATCTTTATACACACTAATGCATTTAATCTTTATGACCACTCCATGATACTACTATTCCATTCCATGAGGTAGGTACTATTATTATCCCCATCTTATAATGATAAAACTGAAGCACAGAAAGGTTAAGTGACTTGCTCAAGATTCTACAGCTGTAAGAGATAAAGGTTATATGTGATCCCAGGCAGTCTCACTTCTCACTGAAGAACCTATATATATATATATATTTTTTTTTTTTTTTTTTTTTTTTTTTTTTGGCCATGCTGGGGATCCAACTCAGACCTTATACATCCTAAGCAAGTTCTTTACTACTGAGTTACACCTCCAGCTCTCAATTTTTGTCTAATAAGCTCATCAGGGTAGTAAAGATAATAGGTCACTTTCCTTCCTTCCTATATTTGTTGAGTAATTAAAAAGGAAGGAGGGTTGTGGCTTAGTGGTAGAGCATTGCCTAGCACACATGAGGCACTGGGTTCAATCCTCAGCACCACATAAAAATTAAACAAACAAAATAAAGGTATCCTGTCCATTTATAACTACATATATATAGGAAGGAGAGGGCTGGGGTTGTGACTCAGTGGTAGAGTGCTTGCCTAGCATGTGTGAGTCACTAGGTTCAATTCTCAGCACTGCATATAAATAAACAAAATAAAGTTCATTGACAACTAAAAAAATATTTTTTTTAAAAAAAGGAAGGAGAAACCAGGTTGTGGATTAACCCAAGTCTGGGCTCTGGGTTCCCTGGATAGTGAGGACAAAGAATAGAGTATAGTTATAGTCTGACAAGGGAGCTGAGATCATTTTGGGGAGCAGAGACTAGTAAGAAGAATACCTTTTGCTGTATACAGGGCATTACAACTTAGAAAACAAGAAATGGCCAGGACTAGGGTTAAGGTGTATAAGATAATTAGGAGAAAATATATTTTCTCTCACCAGTTCTCCAGACGTTCCAACCCAACCTGGTCCAGCGGGGCTCCAATGCAGGCTTTTTGCTGTTGGGCTTTCCACTCATCCAACTTTGGCAGCAGTAGTTCAATTAGGGTAGTTAATCGGCCTACCACTGCTTTGGAGGTATCTAGCACCTCCTGGCAAAGAGATAATGTGAGTATGCAGCACATCTAACTTAGGATGAGGAGAAAAAAAGCCAAGGCTAAGGGTCTAGGGCTCCCCAAATCCCTTTATTTTCCCAGTTCCTTGCCACCCACTCCCTCTATCCCCTGCCTCCCACCTTTCTCCTTTTGTCCAGGTCATTGAGAGTTTCCTGAAGAAGCTGTAGCTCTTTGTTCTGATGGGGATCCGAAGAGGACGTCTTCCCTAAAGGGCCAGAGCAGAAGTCAGATCAGGAGCTCCTTCCTCTCTCTTTCCCAGCCCAGATCTCAGAGTCAGAGAGGGGAAATTCTGGAGGAAAAAGGGGAAACGGAAAAAAAAAAAAAAAAAAAAAAAGGACAGGCACAGGGGGGCCTTTGAGCAAATTCTGAAGGGACCAAAGTCCATTCAATCTGCTAATGGAGTTTTCCATGCATTTCCTCCATTCCGTCCCTGCATTTCCACCTCAACTTTCATAGCACACCCTAGCATTTATAGCTTTGCAAGGCAACAGGACTGCAGTTAGTGGAATTGGCCAAAAGTGACTTGCTCACTGGAACTTTCCAATTCTGTGCTCCATCACCCTTTCCCTCCGAGCAGCCACCAGTCTTTCTCCCATCCCTCTAAGTGCTTTCTACCTTTTTTGTAAATATTAAACCGGAAGTTGAAGATATCCTGCAGTTCTTTCAGTTGGTTGAGGGATTTCACCAGCTTCTACAGAGGAGATGGGACCTCGATGAGGCTGCTTCTGAGGAAGGAATAAGGCTAAGCCCTGCCCACCCCAACTCATGCCACAATGACCAACCTCCATCATAACCCTTAAATCCTGGATGCGAGATTCAATCTCAGGCTGCTGGCTATCCACAGATGCTTCAAGGGCTGGCTTTCCTTGCTCCTGTAATAAAGAGGCTCTGATCAAATTTTAACCCTGATTTTTATCTCTTAAATCCTTTCATCCCTAAAATAATTCCATAGGATGGGTGAGGTGGGGGGATCCTATTCTGAGACAAATCCCAGGAGTCCTTTCCATGGACCCCTTTCTACTCCACGACTTCCAAAATCATCATAAAATTGTTTTCCCCACCTGAGCCCTCTGGGCTTGATTCAGAATTCTTTTTTCTTCCAGAAGTAGATTAAAGATCATCTCAGCCAATTGGGTGGAGCCCTGTGGAAAGTCCTAGAGTAGGAAAAGAGGGAGAATTGTTCATATTCAATCATCTTCAATGACCAGCCACCCTAGATCCTCCCACTAACGTTCCTAGTATTTTTGCCTTCTTCAAAGTCCCCAGCCCTTTCTCTTTTCCACCCCAAACTCTAGCATTTTCCCAACACTATCAGCTATACTTTGCTCATCTCTCTGCTAATGATCCCCAAGGTCCAGACTCTTTCCCCAGATCTGTTCTTCTCCATTTGCATCTTCAGGTTTGTACCCCAAACCTTACTCTACACTTCACTTGGATGCCAGTTCTATCCTTTTTATTCCCAACTCATCCAGGTACCATAATGTCCCTGTAGAATTTTCGCAAGTTGTGCTGTAGCAACAAGCACTCAGGGTCCTGACTGCAGCGGCCAATCTCATAGTTCAGTTGCTCCAAGAAGTGTAAGTAGAGCAGGCTGGCCTTAGAATTATCATTGTCTAGTGCAGCTTCCTTCCTGGGGACCAGGAATGAAAAGGGTTAGAATCTCTGCAAGGTAGCTGCTGTCCTGAGGCCCTCCAATCCCTTCCAGGTTGTTTCCGGGATCCCCAGGGATCAGGAGAAAGGAATCACCTATCTTCTTCATCCACTCCACTCCCCTACTGCAGAAGCCCTCACCAGTTCTGGTCTTCAATCCAGACAGCCAAGTGCTGTCGAATGTCCACTGGCAGGAGGCTCTGTGAGTACAGCTCATGCAGCTGGTCCTGAAATGGGCTATCAAGATTCTGCAGCATCTCCCACTGCGCCATTTGGGCTCTAAGTTGAAAGGATGAAGGTTCTCAATTGAATATTTTGCTGGTCTAAATTACCCATAGTCTTGTGATTGTTTATTACTACTAGCTTAAAATGTTAAAATACATAAGTAAATTTAAAAAAAAAACACAGAAATATTAAGGCCTACATTGACCCCACTCTGAAATTGACCCCACTCTGAATCTTGTTTCCTTCCCTTCATCTCCAGAAATGATCTCTGGGGGCTGGGATTGTGGCTCAGCGGTAGAGCGCTCGCTCGCCTCACAAGTGCAAGACCTTGAGTTTGATCCTCAGCACCACATACAAAAATAAACAAGTCAAATAAAGGTGTTGTGTCCAACTACAACTAAAAAATAAACATTAAAAAAACATTTAAAAAAAAGAAATGATCTCTATTATAGTTCAGTGAATATTCTTCCAGGGAATATAATTCAATAGTTCCAATATGTGAGGTCTTTTTGTTATAATGGTAATTTTCAAACACACACATAAATACAATGACAGGATCATTCATGTATCCATCACCCAACTTTAACAAATAATAATATTTCTGCTATTTCATCTATCTTCCTAGATTAATTTATTTTAAACATATTTGTTTGTGTCTATATTCATTTAGGCTGGAGTAAATATCAGTGTTGGTCTTAAATATTTATGATCTCTGCTGGCCATGAAGCTTTTTTAGGAACTGAAACCTTCTTAGAGGTAAGGTAAGTACACCCTACAAACTGTTCACCATCTAAGAAGGAGGAGTTCCATGCTAGAAGATGTCTAAATACTGTGCAAAGGGTCATTCAATTCCTAAGATTGTGATTTCTTTTTTTTTTTTTTTTTTTTTTTTGGAGTGCTGGGGATTGAACCCAGGGCTCATAGATGCTAGGCAAGTGCTCTATCACAGCGATCTACATCTCCAACCCAGACTGTGACATTTTTAGGATCTCTTTCAATCTCTGATTCTCCATGTGGATTATCAGCTCTAAGATCCAGAAATTTCTCACAAAACTGTTTTTTGCAGGAGCTGTGATGTATACCTGTAACCCTAAAAACTCAGAAGGCTTCTGAAGCAGGAGGATTCCAAGTCAGCTTCAGCAACTTGGCAAGGCCCTAGGCAACTTAGCAAGACCCTGTCTCAAAATAAAAAAATAAAAAAGGGCTGGGAATGTGGCTCAGTGGTTAAGTACCCCTGGCTTCAATCTTTGGTACCAAAACAAAACAAAACAAAAAAACATATATAGTTTAAAAGGATCAAGCACTAAGCTAGGATGTAGCTTAGTGGTAGAGCCCTTACCAAGCATATCTGAGGCCCTAGGTCCTGGGTTCCATCCCCAGCAACAGCAAATAAAAGGAAGATGAAGAAATCCAGCATTATAAAAAGGGTTAAAATTAAAAACAGGAGTTCCTGCCCAATCCTTCGCCTCCTCTGTTCCTATTTTCAGAGGGACAGCTCATGTTAATTCATCCTAGAAGAAAAATTTTTTTCTTTGCTCTGTATAAAGTCATGTGACCTTTTTAGAACACAAATGTGCATGTTTGTTCTGTTCAGTTAGACTCAGGATGCAACAAGAATATGTTTTAATTTCCTTAACAGACATCAGATGGCAGTGGGGAGAAGCATGCCCAGTACAGCCCGCTTGGTGACAGGCAAAAGACAGTTTTGTTTTATTTGATACCACACAGGGCAACTTACACATTTTTACTTAACAAAGAGGATGATACATCATGTCTATCTTTAGACATTGCTTTTTGGTAAGGACAAAAAGTAATGCAGGACAGAGACAAAAGCTTTGATTAAGACATCGAATCCGGGCTGGGGATGTGGCTCAAGCGGTAGCTTGCTCGCCTGGCATGCGTGCGGCCTGGGTTCGATCCTCAGCACCACATACAAACAAAGATACAAACTAAAAAAAAAAAATAAATATAAAGACATCAAATCCATGTAACAAAACCAGGTTCCGGGTCTCCGAGGCTGCAGGGGAGTTCTGGGAGGGGGAGGTAGAATTGGGGAGCTAGACTGGACAGGAGGGTTAAGATCCAGGACACAGCAGAAAGCTCCTATTTACCACTAGAAGACAGAAGTTGCCTCGTCTAGCCCGTAACCCTGGGACCAGCAGCCCTTCCCAGGCAAGAATTTGCCCCTTCACTCCAATCCCCCACACTCTCTCAGGGGCGGTACCTCGTTAGGGTCCCAGTAACCGGTCCCTCCAGTGGCTGTGATCGAGACTTCCAATCCTCAAACGTAGCTGAGGTACCAAGGCTTCCTGCCCCGCCCACAACTTCGTCCCGCCCTTCGGACTCTAAGCCTAGAGGGCTTGAGTCGCAAATGAACCCATAAGCTCAGCCCTGGCACTACTGCCACTCACCAAGCCCTTCCCCGGGTTGGTGCCATCACATCTCCGCCCTCTGCAATGGGCGGGACAAACTTTGCCCAAGCCACACCTCCAGCTCCAGTGATTGGTGAGGAATCCTGCGAGGGGAGGAGTCCAATTGTTGGACTAGCCCAGCTCTGAAACAGCTGACTTTCGAGAACCCGAATCTCCCTCCACCCGGAATCGAAACTGACTTAACCGTGGAAGCGCTCGGGGCTTGAGGGGAAGAGGTGGGACTAGAACTTCGATACTTTAGGATAGAAAGGAGAGGCTTGCGGTAAGGAGAAATAGTTGTTATTATTTATTGAGGGTAGAGAGATAAACACTTTAGGTTCTTGGTATCGTTTTTAATTTCCACAACAACGCTTTCAGGTGAAAATCATTATCCCCACTTTAGAAATTTTTAAAACGAACTTCGAGAAAGAGACTACTTATTCAGTGATCAGCAGGCAATAACAAATGGAGCTTGGATTCAAGACTATCTTCTAATTCCAAACCCCAAACTTTTTTTTTTAATATTTATTTTTTAGTTGTAGTTGGACACAATATCTTTTTTTTTTAAGAGAGAGAGAGAGAGAAATTTTTTTTTAAATATTTATATCTTAGTTTTTTCCACGGACACAACATCTTTGTTTGTATGTGGTGCTGAGGATGGAACCCGGGTCCTACGCATGCCAGGCGAGCGCGCTACCGCTTGAGCCACATCCCCAGCCCAATATCTTTATTTTATTTATTTTTATGTGGTGCTGAGGATCAAACCCAGGGCCTCGCATGTGCTAGGAGAGCACTCTACCCCTAAGCCACAATCCCAGCCCTCAAACCCCAAACTTTTAAGTTCCTTGTATTTGATAGAGTTACTTCCTCCTGAATAAAAAATCAGGAGATTTGGATCCCTTGCCCCTCCTCAGGGATTTTTAAGCACACGCAGATACAGTATGTCAGAATCTTCAATTTATTCATTCTGTGGTTAACAACTTTTCTATCCTAAAACTTCCAACACCAAGATCTAAGCGCATCTCTTGAATAAGTTCCACCCCCAGTGGGGAGCTGGATTTACTACTTTCTCTTTCTTATTTTGGTACTGGGGATTGAATCCAAAGCCTCACCCATACCAGAAAAGCACTTTACCACTGTGCCACATCCCCAGCCCTGGACTTACTACTTCTGACACCAAAGGAGACATGGTAGTTGTTTCTTCCAAGTCACTCACATCTGAGGTGCTCCACAAGCCCTCCTTGCTGGTCTCTGGCTGAGGGATGTTTGTCTCTTTCTCTTCATAATAATACTGGATCAGTTGCTGTACACCAGCCTTTAATGCTGGTTTAAGTGCAGCACTGATCACTAGACCTGTGGGCCCTCCTGACAGTCCTGCCATGGTCATCAGAAGGTCATAACCCAGATCTAGGGCTCCATCTTGACCTCGTTCCTTGGCCTTGTCAGAGCAATTCTGAATGGCATAGTAGAGAGCTGTGCCCAGGTTATAGTAGGTTCCCACTCCTGGCAATAGACGGATGACATTATGCACACCTTGTTCCTGCTCATTCTCACAGTCCTTAGTGGAGAAGGAGCGCCTCACCCTCTTTTGCCCTGGCTGCTCCCTGGCTAACAGTTGCAGAACAGAGGAGAGGGCTTCCACTGACACTCTGCTGTCTGTACTTCTGCCTTTCTGGAGCCCTTGAAGATGGTGAATGAGGCCCTCTGTCGCATTCACACCACCCCAGTGGTAGAGCTGAAGCTGCAGGGCCCAGGCATCAGGTTGGCAGCCAGCTTCCTCCAAGGCGTTCCTTAGAGCCAGGCCTACTAGGAACTTGGATAGAGGGGCCATGTGGGCAAAACCAGGTAGAGACTTTGGATGTAGATTCTGGCAAGACAAGGAGCCTGAGAAGAGTGGAGGGGATCCCAAGGATGAGGAAAGGTGCATGGAGACATTTGTCTGCTTTCTATATGAAATGGCATCCACAGAATGCAGCAGGTGGTAGCAAAGAAGAAGCTCAACTGGAATCATGATGAATCTGAAGCTATACATGTCTGAAGCAGAGTACCCTGGAAAAGGGAGAAATCCAAAACATAATAAACCATTTCTCTAAGGGCTATAGTCTGAAAGGAGCCCAAGACTCAAAGGACACATGCATCATCTATCACCTACCTCCATACTTCTGTTCCTTTTTAAAAAAATGTTCTCCTGAGATACCAGGGGATTGAACTTAGTGGAGGTCTGCAACTGAGCTGCATCCCCAGTCCTTTTTATTTTGTGATACAATCTTACCAATACTGGCTTAGGAACATGCAATCCTCCTTCCTCAGTCTCAGATAGTTAGAATTACAGTCTTGTGCCACCTTGCCAGGCTAAAGCCTCTATTCTTTTCAATTCAGGGCTTAGGAAATGGAAAATGCAGCCCAGTTGCTCCCACCTGGTTTCTCCCATTTTCAGGTCACAGGGAATTCCTTTGTTTTATTTCCACCCACTTTTAGAGGCCCCAAATTACCACACAATCCAGCTATTGAGAAGTGACACTGCCTTGGAAGGTTTGGTTGCTTCTCAGTCCTGCTCTGCCCAGTTCTCTGTCCCAGGAGGAAAGGAGATATTTGTTTTACCCTGTGATCAGTAAGGGGTGTAATATCTGCAAATATTTGTCCATTTGTACTGGGTGTTCAGACCTTTCCACTTGTCACACATTCAACCTCAATTCCTAAGACCTTGTCCTTTGACATTCCCTATATGTCCTGCCAAATTGCCACTCAGTTCATGATAGAAACCAGGAAGATTCAGAATCAGGAGAGATTAGATGTTCATAAGTCTTTCATTTTATTTCTCTTTTCAGTTTTAAAATAAATCAGCAAGCTCTAGCATCTAGTTGGGGTTTTAGAAAGAATGAGGGAGCCAGGTGGGGTAGTAAGCCACTTTGATCTCAGCTCCTTGGGAGACTGAGGCAGGAGGACTCCAAGTTCAAGGCCAGATTGGGCAACCTAGCAAAACCCTGTCTCAAAATAAAAAGTAAAAAGGTCTGGGGATGTAGCTTAGTGGTAGAGTGCCCCTGGGTTCAGTCAAGAAAGGATGGAAGGAAGGAAGGAAAGGGGAGATGAATTTATTAATAAAGATTAAAATATCTCTTATTCCTTGTATGTATTAAATGCATAATATTTGATGATTGAAAGAAAGCAGAGGGGCAAAATGGGATGAGAAATAAGGGCTGAGAAGTCTGTTGTGGTAGCACACACCTGTAATCGCAGCGACTTGGGAGGCTGAGGCAGAAGGAGCATAAGTTCAAGACCAGTCTCACAACTTAATAAAATCCTGTCTCAAAAACAACTTTTTTTTTTTTTTGGAACTGGGGACTGAACTCAGGAGTATTCAACCACTGACCCACATCCCTAGCCCTATTTTGTATTTTATTTAGAGATAGGGCCTCACTGAATTGCTCAGCACCTAGCCATTGTTGAGGTTGGCTTTGAACTCACGATCCTCCTGCCTCAGCCTTCCAAGCAGCTGCAATTACAGGCATGCGCCACCATGCCCAGCTCAAAAACAACAATTTTTAAAAAAGTGTTGGTCATTGATGTAGCTCAGTGGTAAGGCACTCCTGGGTTCAATACTCAGTACTGAAAAAATAAATAAATAAAAAGATAAATAAATAAATAAGGGCTGAGACCTAGTAAGTGGGGAGGGGCAAGAATAATGCGAGTCATATGTATGTTTGCACAGGGATGAAATAAAGAAAATGCATCTGTCCTAAACAATCTCCAACACGTCTAATGACCTACTGAATCCCATGAACATAGTCGTGGGTAAAACTTCTCCACTATATGGTATAGAATATCTGAAGTAAGCTTACATGATTCCTGAATCACTTTCCTCATACAGCACTTCAGAATAGTTACGGAATATTTGGTACATTATATTATCATTGTTTATGAACATGAAAGTTTCTTTAAAATTTTTTTTAGTGGTAGATCAACACAATACCTTTATTTATGTTTTTATGTAGTGCTGAGGATGGAACTTGATGCAATCTACCACTGAGCTACACCCCCATCCCTGAAAGATTCTTAATTGATAGGGAATTCTTCAGGGTGTTTTTTTTTTTTTTTTTTTGTGTGTGTGTGTGTGTGTGTATGTGATGCTGGGGATTAAACTCAGGGCCTTATGCATGCAAGGCAAGCACTCTACTAAATAAGCTATATCCTCAGTCTGATTCTTCAGCTTTTTGTCTAACTATTCAATATGCTCCCAAGACTCACACTTGCAGTTCTAGCAAAAGCTTTGAACTGTGATGCTAACCATATGGGAGAAGGCTTCCCAGCAGATTCAATCACCATCTGAGCATACTGGTAGACGGACCAACCCAAAATATTTACCATTATCAATACTTTCCTCAGAGTGAGTAGATGAGTGCTGAGTTTATTCCAGCTTCCCTGAGGGACCACTACATCATTAAGATTAACAAATATATTAGTATTAGTTCAACTAGTTCTTAGTACTATCTGTCAATCCCTTCCTCCTCTTTATGCTTCTGACTCTCAAGGTTGAGGGTTTCAGTGAGGTCCTTTTCTCCCACCCTAATAAGCTGAAGCTGCAGATAGTGGGTCTCAGTTGGGCAATCAACCTCCTCCAGGCCACCCTTAGAGCTAAATTGGACAGGTACTCAGGCAGAGGGGCTAAGAAGGGGGCTGTGTGCAAGAGATCTGTGTGCAAGAGGTGCTGGGATCTGGGACAGGAAGCTGGCTGGAGAGCTCCTGTGTTGGGTGCTCAGTCTCTGTGAAAGATGCCTGGAGCTTCAGGACCTCATTCTGGGTACTTCTTGGAAAGCCAGCCACTGGGGACAGGAAGACACAGCAAAGGAATAGCATGGCTTAGGTCATAGTGGCTCAGTGGATCAGCCCTGTTGTAAAGAAGCAGTGCTCAGGTGGGGATGTGGGGAGAGGGCCATGTTGAAGAGATATCAAGACTGGTCAGAGCTGGGA